GAGTTTTGAGCAGTGTAGTTTGTCGTTTCTCCAATCACAAATGCAGACATGGTTTTATGTTTACGCGGCGCTATGAGATGCAACGCGTAAAAAGACTGTATAAGGGGCCGTTCACATGTCGCGTCGTTTGCGTGCTCAAGTTCGTTATTTCAAATGTAGAGCGCAGGCGCGTTCATAATGGAAGCGACACGCTCATTTTTTCCAGGTGCATCCGCGCAGCATCGAGATAAACACATTTCAACTTTTCAGAATGCATGTGACAAGAACCAACCAATCAGCTTCATCCTTTCCCGTAACAACATTGAAAGCTCAGCCAAGATGAAGGAACAGCTGATCATAACTGTACAGGGAAAGCCATTTTTAAATACCTTTAGTAGTAGGGCTACTGCAAGCGATTTTTAGTGCTGCAAATCCATTTATCCTTTGCTGAAACTTCCGCGTCTTCATGGAGAGCGCAGGTCATGGTTGCTTAGCAACGGCAGGAGCGCAAGCGCCCAAACGCTTTGGAAAAAAGCAGAAAGTGGCGCGCCTAGCGTTTTCCACGCGTTTTTAGGCGCGACATGTGAACAGCCCCTAAGTCATTATAATCCGTAATTATGTCCCCACTGGATGCAACAAATGCCTCGTTTATAATGGGTTTTAATGATTTTGTCACATCACAGTATGGCATCACAGTATGGTGAGGGGCGTAACATTTCCGTCACACGCTTGAGGTATTCGGCCAATCACAACGCATTGGATAGCTGGCCAATCACAGCACACCTCACTTTTCAGACCGACGAGCTTTGTAAAAATCGAGTGTTTCAGAAAGGCGGGGCATAGAGGAGAAACAATAATGTACAGTATGTGGAAAATAATGTGTTTTTTTTACCTTAAACCACATAAACACATTGCATTACACCAAATACACAAAATAATGTTCTTTTTAGCAACATCATATGACCCCTTTAATATTTCAAAACTTACTGAACCTGCCAGGTTATTTTTACACAGTTGCACAGAAACAGAAAGAAATGCTGACATCACACGCACGCTTAGGTGGAAATGAAAACATGATGTGAGCAGCAGACTTTAGGACCCAGTCCACAGAGCCAGCTAGTCGGGTTTCTCTTTTTTACTTAGCTACGTCTATAATGTCATACGTGCTGCTAGAAGCGTGTTCCAGTGAACAGAACTGAAATTTGAAGGTGACAGAGCAACATATTTTTAGTAAGTACCATTACAGTTAGTTTATATCCCTGAAGCTTATTATGGCAATTAGAGGATTTGGATAAACATGTTGTATTGCCAAAATGACGTTAATTCTCTCCAGAAGAAGATAAATATATGCACAGATCTTAGGATCGAGTTTAAATGTCAATTTGATGTAATGAAGTTGAGCTGACTAGCTATGAATTTAAATCTGCACGTTATTGTTGATTATTAATTGACATTAGTTGCCCAAAAAGCCTCTAATCACAAAAATGCTAGATGTAGAACACCGTGCATGAAAAGTGATACAGTGGCTATTTATGAACTTAAATAAATAACCTTGCATCACATTGATAAATGTGGACTGCGCATGAGCCTGTCCCGAATCCATGCAGCATCCCTTACCGTATTCCCCACATACAAACGTAACAGGTGACTCGGAAATACGGAAGGCTTGTAAACAAGCAAACAATATTTAAAATAATAGTGCTATACTAGATTAATCGGATTGAAGATTATATTATTAGAGGCTTGTTTTTACAGAAAGGCATCGAAACGCGTAAAAGTGCGCATATTGCGCGTCTGACAGGACGTCAAAACAGTTGTACGCGATGCGAATGGGCATTTTGGTACAAATATGGGTGAGCTCAGACGGTAAGTCAATTAAAGCTGAATAGCGGATATTGTGAAAGATCCGTATATGTGCTGACATGTGCATTAACCCCAAAATTGACCATTTCCTTCACAAAATGTACCATGTTAAACATAGACTTGAGATGACCCCGAACACCTTTGAAGAGATGATGCTGACCACTGCGAGGACCCCAGATGACGCCAACTTGAATCGACATGTACAGCTGCCAAAATGTCTCTATATTATAATCATTATGATCACACTTGTAGGTGTAATACTCGCTTTAATGAGCTTCTGCCTAAAATTAATTAATGTTAGCTAGCTGTATGATTATCTTGAACTGTTCATTTGTGAAATGGACATTACTTGGACACATTCACGTCTGCTTTGTAATGTAATGCATGTAGACACATGCATTTTCTGTAAAGCTGCTTTGAAACAATGTGTATTGTGAAAAGCGCTATACAAATAAATTTGAATTGAATTGAATTGAATAGCTTCCATTCCATTACCAAATGGAGTCATGTATCACTCAGACATGTATCACTCATCAAACTAGAAAACATTCTAATTACATATACAGGTGCATCTGAATAAATTAGAATGTCGTGGAAAAGTTCATTTCAGTAATTCAACTCAAATTGTGAAACTTGTGTATTAAATAAATTCAGTGCACACA